GACTAGCTCCTGAAAAGCTAAGGTTAGCGAAAAACGAATTCGATCACATGATGGACTTAGGAATCATACGACCGTCAAGTAGCCCATATGCATCTCCGTTACACATGGTCCCTAAAAAGGACAGCAACGATTGGCGTCCAACTGGTGACTATCGGCGATTGAACGCGAAAACCATTCCCGATCGTTACCCGTTGCCTCACATTCACGATTTGACAGCTACCTTGAAAGGTACAACTGTCTTTTCGAAAATCGACTTGGTTAAAGCGTATAACCAAATCCCTATGGCTACTGACGACATACCAAAAACAGCTATCATAACTCCTTTCGGACTCTATGAATTTTTGAGAATGCCTTTCGGTCTAAGGAATGCTGCTCAAACATTCCAAAGATTCATAGACGACGTTTTTCGAGGTCTCAACTTCGTACACGCGTATGTTGACGACTGTCTAATCGCAAGTCCGGACAGAGAAACACATCTCAAGCATCTGGATCTTGTTTTCGAACGACTTCAAAAACATGGCATAACTGTAAACGTTCAGAAATGCCAATTCGGAACCGACTCGTTAGACTTCCTAGGACACACTATCGATGCTCAAGGCATTCGACCTCTTAGGACCAAAGTGGCGGCCATTCTGGATTACCCAGAACCGACCACCGTCAAGCAATTACGCACGTTTAACGGCCTGGTAAGTTTCTATAGACGTTTCATACCCAAATGCGCAATAATTATGAAACCTCTGACCGACCAACTTCGTGGAAATGCGAAATCCATTAATTTGGACGACACCGCACGAAAAGCATTCTCCACAGTTAAGGAACTGATTGCTAAAGCAACAATGCTCGCACATCAGGACACCCGAGCACCCATTAGCATCGCAGTAGACGCATCCGACTCAGCAATCGGAGGAGTCTTACAACAATGGGTTAACAACTCCTGGCAACCCTTGGCATTTTTCTCTAGAAGGTTGCTAGACACCGAATCGAGGTACAGCACATTCGGTAGGGAACTCCTAGCTATGTATTGTGCTGTACGGCATTTCCAACACTACATCGAAGGTCGTGAATTCACTCTTTTCACGGACCATAAACCGCTCACTTTCTCGTTAAGCTCTCCTTCTGACAAGTACTCTCCCCGTGAGTCTCGACAACTGGACTACATTTCGCAGTTTACTTCAGATATTCAACACATCTCTGGAGCAAACAATGTAGTTGCAGACGCTTTATCTCGTATAACTTCCTTGAACAGTTTCCAAGGAATCGACCTTCTTAAACTCGCCGAGCTTCAAAAAGAAGACACTGATCTTCAGCACGAGTTATCGTCCACAACACTTAAACTACGCATCAAACAGATGGGAACAGGTAAGGAAACCTTACTTTGTGACACATCTACAGGTAGGGATCGCCCAATCGTGCCGAAACATTATCGACGCAATGTCTTCAACACATTGCACAAACTTTCGCATCCAGGTGCCCGTGCAACCATCAAGCTTATAGCAGAAAGGTTTTGCTGGCCTGGAATGAATAAAGACGTGAGGGAGTGGGCACGCTCCTGTGTAAGCTGCCAAAAATCTAAGGTTATAAGACACAATAAATGTCCCTTAGGCTCGTTTAAAACTCCCGATGCTCGTTTCGACCATGTTCATTTGGATTTGGTAGGACCTTTACCAGATTCAAATGGATACTCTTATCTCTTAACCTGCGTAGACCGTTTCACTCGATGGCCAGAAGCAGTACCTATCAAGGACATCACTGCTGAAACAGTGGCCCGCACCTTCGTCGAACGATGGGTAGCAAATTTCGGCTGCCCTTCAACCATCACTACAGACCGCGGACGTCAATTTGAATCTGATCTTTTCCGTCGTCTGACCACTCTTTTAGGAAGCACTCGCTTCCGAACGACCGCCTACCATCCACAAGCAAACGGGTTGGTAGAACGTTTTCACCGACAACTGAAAGCTTCGCTATCAGCTACAAACGTTTCACAGTGGACCGACGCTCTTCCACTCGTCTTACTAGGTATCCGCAATGCAGTGAAAGCTGACATTGGATACACTGCGTCTCAACTCGTTTATGGTACGACACTTCGACTTCCAGGAGAATTCGTGGATCCTTCATCCTCTTCAATGAACATGGATCTAACCTCCTACACGAACAGGCTTACAAACGCAATGCGTTCAGTTAAACCTGCTTCCACCCGACCTCAATCGACTGATGTTTTCGTTCAACCTGACTTACGATATAGTACACACGTTTTCGTTCGTCGAGACTCGCATCGACGACCCTTCGAATCAGCATACGAAGGACCCTTCAAAGTTCTTCAACGTGAATCTAAGTACTATATAGTCGATAAGAACGGAACCAACGATAGCATCAGTATCGATCGCTTAAAAGCAGCGTATTTAGAAGGAAATCCTATCTACGTGGATTTTCCTTCGGTACAATTGAACGACACGACTCCGACACTTATAATACCTCATCCGACAACCAACACACACGATGATACTTCGACAGTATCCGAAAATAAACTTAAAACGACGCGTTCTGGAAGAAGGGTGAGATTTCCAGAACATCTAAACGACTATTGCACGTAAGGCACTTCTCGACATTTTATATTATTTTTTAAAAAAAAAAAACAATTTTAATATGCTTATATATTTTTATTTCTATTTAAAAAAAAAACAAAACAAAAAAACAATTTTTTTAACGCTATTACGTGTTCATGAGTTTATTTTCCATTTTTTTTTCCGCCGACATTGTGCTTTGACGCACATACGAGTGTATTTCGACATGCACTTACATTTTCTTTTTTCTTTTCCAGGACGGCTGGAAAAGAACGATGACGTTTATGAGGATCCGAAATTTTCCATGTACATTTTCTTTTTTTACTATGTTGTACCTCCGTCCCATATAGTAAGGAAAGACGACCAGACGCTGCTAAATTTAGTAAGCTATCAGAAGAGTGTTTACCAACGACAAACTCGTTGGGTTTAAACTTCTGGCTGGCCACGTCTTAGGGTCGTCACTGCCCCACTAGGGGGGGAGTGATCTGTAGCGGTAAATAAATCCCCAAAATAAATAGCACTAAGTTTTCGACATTGGATGCTGACCATATGTTTTAGTGGACTCACCTAGCTGAAGGCGCTCGGTCAGTCATCCGCACCAAATCACGTGTGGTAACGCCGTGCTCAACATCAACCGCAATCGCTAGCCAGATTAGATCAGAGAATTCCGATATATTGGTCATCGCCAAATATACTCTTCCGATCTCCTCGACTCTGTCTTTTGATTTCTCTGGGCGGGAACGAAATATATTAGAAGGTGTTACTGGTAGAAGCGTTGTCAAACACTGAATACCTGTGACATCATCAAGACATATCACTACCTTGCATCTCGCTTGTCGATATAAATAAGAGCAGTCACATACCGTTAGAGTCGACATCATTTGTCAGTCTAAACAAAAGCACCACATGTTGTGAGCAGTATTTAGACAGTGCTGTTGACCCCAAACACCCAGCAATCTCACAATCGGCCATCCTGAGTAGTGGCCCACGGAGTACATGTAAGCCTGCCTACAATAGCCAGCCCGGTGATGTAGATCTTGACTACTCACCCAGACATATACCCCATCCCCCAACTAAGTGTGCACAAAGTGAACATCCGCTAGACACCTGCAACAGGCCTGTATGTAACCATATCGACCTTAGAAACTTTGATATAAACTCCGATAATCTCACCACTGGTAGACCTAAAAGCAGCCAAACAGAACTTAACCTCACCCAAACTATTCAAGACCTATTACCTTACAAATATTTAATCAGTGTTCCAGAAAATCCCGATCTGGAAATTATAAAAAACACTGAAAAAGTAATTGACCATATATCATCTGAAGTGTTGAAAAGACTTCAGTGTATGCAGAATGTTATTGTGTATAATATACCTGATAGTACGAACATAAAGACTGCTAAAAATACTCTACTACAAGAATGTGGATTGTCGCAATCTTGGTGTGTAACAAGAAGATTACGTAAAGCACACACTAAAGCCTCCTGTCCCATTCTATTTCAGTTTGGTAGCACCACTGAAGCTAATCACTTCCTCAATAGTCAGTCATTACTGAGGCGTATTCCAACATTTAAAAAGATTAGGATCATTCATGACAGGACCGCTATCCAGCGTCGAATCTGCAATGGAACACAAACTGATCAACCCAGCTTACGTAGCCGCGGCAGCTACAGCTCTTGTCACTGCACAAATCCTAAAATATCATACACTGCCCCCCAAAAAAACGGAGGCACGTCGGACACTGCTATTAGTCCTAAGGACAAGACTGCACATAAGGCAACTACAACCACTCACCCTCAGCCCAGATACTCAGCTACCCCAAAATGCCAAACCACTTATGCCTCAATAGCGTCCAAGTGTTACCCTAGCGGCCCCTATAAAATGCCTAAAAATGATCCTCCCAGGAATTGCGCTAACAACTACAGACTCCCAGACACCGCTGTACGAAATAATACCAAACTCTCCGTAAAAACCCACCAATACTCCAGCACCCCTAACCCAAAACATGCACCTTCTCATAGCAATAGAATGCCCTACAACAAACATAGTGAACTGGCAACACCCACTCATCCTAATGTGAAACGACACTCGACAAGAACCACACCCACACGTGATACCCATAAGTCATATAGTGTCAATCTTGTAAGCCCCATGAACCAACACAAAACTATACACAACAGAAACACCTCTCCTGGCAACAATAACAGGCATTCCTTCATTCCCTACCAGAAACATACAACCTCCCCAACTAACCACAATAGGACTAAAGTTGCCCACCGCACACGAGGAAGCCATGACGTTGGCCTACTTGGGAACCCACCTACTGATTCTAGGTACTATCTAAGTCAAGCCACCCAATACAACGGTTTAGTTTCCCCTAATTCGACATACACACTATCTCATCCTTTTTTATCTCTCTCCCCCTCAACATTACTGCTATGGGGTCTCCAAATGTTGAGGGCGACAATCCCACTATTCTGAAACCGTCTATATACTCCGATTTAATGGGGAGTGGCACATCCTACTCAACTTCGATAACTGTCTCTAGTCTTGAAAACTCTTTGACTGAATCCCCTGATCATTCCCCGGACACATTACCTAACCATTCAACTCTACCTTCCACTCTTAGACATACTTCTTTCACCAAAACCACACCCGACTACCCTTCTTGCATTAACCCTACTGGTAATAAACTAAACGCTCATCAAAGTGGAGTCAACGCCCCCAATTCTTCCTTTTCTCATGGCAAAACAGACAAACCACTCGGTTTACATCATACCCTTCTACTAGACAAACAGTCACCGTACCTGACACTTATGTTAATCAACGCTCGATCTGTACAAAGTAAGATGACTTACCTACGCACCCTATTACTTATAAACAACCCCTCACTTGTTTTGATAACGGAAAGTTGGCTGTCCTCCGATACCACAGACACATATCTACAAATAGACACATATGAGCTCTTCCGCTGTGATCGAGTCACCAAGAAGGGTGGTGGTTGTCTGGTTTATGTATCAAAAAAATTGAGAGCGGAAATCTATAGCGACGACGTCCTCAGCAAACTTCCTGAATCGATATGGATTACTGTGCACACTCATGAGTGCAAAATACTAATCGGATGCATATATCGAGCTCCTAACACTCCTAGTTCAACTGACACTATTTTAAGTGAGTCATTTGCTCAGGCTGCCTCGCTTGACTTCACTTACAAAATTGTATGTGGTGACTTCAACCTTCCCACCATCAACTGGAAAACACATTCTGGCCCATTGTGCTTTGAAAGCATACTTAGGTCCTTAGACATACACGGCTGGCAACAACATGTACACCTGCCTACACGAAATCACAACATTCTTGACTTGATATTCTGTCATAATGTCACGCCAACATCAATGGTGGTTGGCGAAAAGTTTCACAACAGCGATCACAAAATAGTCCTCTGCACCCTTCCGATTCTTGCCATATGCAACAAATTAAAGACATTAAAAACGCGATTCCAATATAGAGACTATGCAAACGCTGACTGGGAAAACTTTCGATTTCTAATAAAGCACTCTGACTGGGGCAGTTTCTTTACCAGTAATAACCTCTTAGAAACATTAGAAATATTCAATATCACCACCAAATCTGCACTAGACACTACTATACCCTCTAAAATTGGTTTTAAAACAGTTACTCCCTATATAAACCAAAAGACTAGGTCTAAACTGAGAAAACTGAAAAGGATGTACTACATATCAAAAGACTTCAGTGCCCTGCACCAGATATACTCTGTACTTGACAGAGTACAAAGTCAACACAACAAGCATAAACAGGTAGAGGAACGTACTGCGCTCGCTGCTGCATCTAAAGCCCAAGCCTTATGTCGTCTCCTCACGAAACGCATAAGAAAGAACACAGACCACAACATTCACTCCTTACTGCACGATGGAGTAACGTATAATGACCAAACCGTCATATGTGAACTATTAAGTGAATGGTTTTCTCACAATGGGAATACATCTGATGCTCCAGATATCGACATAAAGTGCACCGGCAAAAACTATCTTAGTACCATAAACTTCGACATTAGGAGTATACATACCACCATTCAAACCCTTAAGCCAAATGCGAGTTCTGGTGCCGATGACATCCCTTCAATCGTTTATAAAATGTCAGGGCCGGACATACAGACGCTACTACTCAAAATATACACATTATCTTTAGAGACAGGTACATATCCGGAAACCTGGAAGGTAACGTATGTTCTTCCCAAACACAAATCCGGACCGAGAAACCTGGTTGAAAACTACAGACCTATAAATATCACTCCAGTCATATCACGCATAATGGAAAAAGTGATACAAAATCAACTATCTGATCACCTACTCAAGGAAGATCTAATAGACCCGTCACAACACGGCTTCATTAGAACAAAGTCGTGCAGTACATGCCTGATAGACTTCTTTAACGAGGTTACTCGTATACGTGACCAGAAGAAACTAGTTATTATACTATACTTCGATATTAAGAAGGCCTTTGATAAAGTACCTCATAATCTTCTAATCAACAGACTGAAGTCAGTTGGAATTATAAATCCCCTTTTGCAATGGATCAAGTCTTTTCTTACGAACAGATATCAAATAACCAAGATTAACTCTAATACATCTACACCTCGACCGATAACCAGTGGTGTTGTGCAGGGTAGTGTCTTGGGTCCATTGCTCTTTATAATCTACATCAACAATATATGCAAGTGTTTTAGCACAGGTAAGACCTACCTCTATGCCGATGACTTAAAAGTCATTTATAAAACTGACATTTGCGATTTACGCAATACTATGCAAACAATCCAACATGAACTTAACATGGTAGATGACTGGTGCAAACGCTGGAGGTTAGAGCTCAACATAGAGAAATGCGGCTGGTTATGTATAGGAGACATGTCTCTTAAAATGAAACTAACCCTTAGCAATCACACACTGCCCAGACTGGCATCAGTAACTGACCTAGGGGTACATTACTCACACAGTCTTAATTTCGCTGAACACATCTCAGCCAAAGCATCCAAAATGAGGAAATTGCTTGGCTTCATTCTCCGTAATTTCTATCAAAATGAATCTAAAATCCTTCTTTACAAAGTTTGTGTAAGACCTATCGTTGAATACTGCTCGTTCTTAGTTTCCAACCTACGTCTATCTGATATACTAAAGGTGGAAGGAATACAACGAGACTTCACCCGCAAAGTACTTAAGACTGACTCAGTCATTGACTACAGTTCTCGATGCCACATCTTAGGAATAGCACCCCTTTGGGAGAGAAGGCTTAGATCTAATTTGATTCTCTACTTCAAACTACTCAAAAACCTTACTTATTCAACATGTCAGATAATTCTTGCCCGAGATTCACATGAATACGGACTTCGAAACAAAGTATCTACGGTCAAAGTTGAGAAATACAGATCAAAAACTCGGGAAAACTTCTTCCTCACCAAGTATGCAATAATATGGAACAGTCTTCCCTCCGAAACTCGCATGGCAGATGAACTACATACGTTTGTGAAACTGCTTGATCAGGCCCTCACTCGCACTGATCTTGCACGTACGAACACATCTGCGCCCCACTCAGACATCATAGGCTCTCTCCATGTCTAGACCAAAATGGACTTCAAGTTCAGTTTGTCTTATTTTTCCTACTTTGCAGTTGTATTAATTACTTTTTCCACCCCATTTCTTCACTTGAAGTAGACAGGTAACTCACTGGACCTATCATTACTGTCAAACTAAACTCGGTCGATAAGGGACAATCACTACCACCCTAAAAAGTCAAGAGGACCCGACAATCGGCTGCCTACTACCAGTGGTCTTGCATCTATGGAACCTGTTACCAATCAACTGGTTAAGACAACAGAAAATAACATCAACACCAAGTTACTGTGAGTTCCTTCCTGTTTATCCTATATTAACTTTTTACTCTTCTGTACACTATGTTGACTAGCAATTAATATTATTTCTCCACTCGTTCTCTTATCCACAACTCATATACTTCTATACTTTTTCCGCCTGCTTAAATAAACAACTATCCTACAATATACCCTTCTTAACGCTTATACTCTGATTGGCAAACTATACTTTATACTATAGTCAACAGAGGCACTGCATCGATGCTTTACCCACAGTCCATAGCTTGTAACTGCCTGATAAGCTTGTAAAATGGTACTTATAGAAATAGTGCTTTCCAATAGGTTGTGAAACACAGAGAATTGTGTGAGGTATGACGTATATACAAAAATAAGCCTAAATGAGCCTAACATCACAAAAGGAGGGAGGGTGGAGTTACTGACCAGCAAGCATTGATGGTGAGGGCGATAACTTCAATCCACCCGTGTTTGTGGGGACAGAACATTTTGCATGTATCAGGCTCTTTATAATTGAAAATAAGACAGTCAATCTAAGATATAGATTGTCTTCCTACGCTCACCATTCAGACTCATGTTTCCAATATTATGCTGGATTAGCTATTCTACTAAGACAACCTATAACATGCGAACTCGGACTTTTACACTAGGATTGCGTGGCTGACATCGAATGGACAAAAAAGAAAAGAAAACAGACAATAAAAGATATAGTCACTAGTATTCTTAACACTTCATCCTCTATACATACACCCTTCGAATAAACCGCTTCCCTTGTACCAACCTTGACTTCCCTTCCCTCATGTGAGCTTACTCCAACTTGTTAAACATCACAACTCATTGTTCTTTATTAGTACATTCTCTAATATGGAGCCTTTGACTTCACTTCACTCTAACAAGACATTATATGAATTTATTCTAATTTATTCTACCCCTGTCCGTTCTACTACACAATGTTAAGCAACCTTTGGCGTTCATATCCAAGTGCCTTGCTGCTCTTCTGTTTCTCTTTTTTTCTTCTTCAGAATCTTGCTCTGAGAGCACAGCTATGAAACTCCTGACGTTTGGAACAAACTTAACGTACGCGTCCTTTCAAGGCCATAGTTTACAGCAAGCGCACTACGATTTCACTTTATAACAACTATAAACTTAATAAGTTGGGAAGCATTTTGCCAACCAACAAATGTTGTAATTTATAGATCATGCCTGTAAAAACGGTGTGTACCTGCAAATGCAGAAATATATTATTATTATTATTAAAAAAATCTTTAAGTAAAGTATCAGAATTTTCTTTAGAAACTAGGAAGGACAACTCCACTTTAGGCCTTTTCAAATTCTTGAAACCTAATATTGACAGTCCTGTTTCGCTAACTAAAAATTCACAAGGTATGTATGAAGAATTATAATCTCTTATTAGCAATTCATAAAATCCTCGTATGGGCAGTCGGTGTCCAGTAATCCCCAATACTGATACTTCAGTGGGTCGTACCGCAACGTTAGGATCTAAGGATTTCAAGTTCTTGAATGAAGTAATGGACTCTATACTGCCTGTGTCCACAATAAAGTCATGAAATGAACCAAGCGATGTATATAGTCGCTTTTGAATATGAGCATTACCTTTCGAAATAGTAGACAAAGATAAATGATCGCTAGAAACATCCGAATTATTGAGATTTAAATTACAAGATTTAGTACTACTTGAAGCGAAATGGACAGTAGCTTTGCATACTGACTGAATGTGTCCTGTCTTACCACATTTAAAACATTTAGCACTACGAAATGCGCATGAATTACGGGAATGAAACTTTCTACATGATAAAAATTTAACAAACTTCATCTCACCTTTGTGATTTGCTTTGTAATTCCTTGTTAAAACACCTTTGGTACTTACACGAGAATAGGAATCACTGTTAAACGAACGCAAGTTTGATTGACCCTGAGATTGTAGTTCATCATGACGACTAAGCAAAGTATTAGAAATCTTCATCGACTGGATATCAAGTTCATTTACTGCTTCGTAGTTAATACACGCAGTTCTAGCATCTTGAAAGGAACAGTTTGGCATTCATAACAGCTCTCTTCTCAAACACGGTATGTTAATTCCTGCAATTAGTCGATCTCTCAGTTGCACAGAAATTACACTTGGCAGCTTGTTTCTTCAATTCAAGGATGAATTCCCGAACGTTTTGGTCATTTTAACGAACCATCTTATGAAATTTAGCCCTTTCACGGCATTCAAAACTGGTGCACTTTACATGATTTAATAATAGCTCCTTAAGAATTGCATAAGGAAGTGAGATAAGTTTTTCTGGATGTAGATCACCAACGTAGATGATCTATGTCGAAATGATTGGAGACCTACTCGAGTTAGACGTGAGTAGTGTGACGAACCAACTAACGTCGAAGTCACACCTCGTGGTCAGCACCTTACGTAGACTACCCCCATTGACGTAACAAGGTACTATAGATGCTTTGAAGACTGTAAAACACAAAGAACGTTATTACAGAAATATATTAGTCAAAGTAGATACAAGCGAAAGTAAGATCACTGCCACATGGGCCAGTCCATGGCATACCATTAACTAATGCGCGTTTGTTGTACATGACCTTGGCAGGGAGCGACGATCTGTTCGACATTCAGTGATCCAACTGCCGGATGATTTGGCTAGGGCTCAGTGACATTTCACTGGCCCTACATGGATATGCCAAAGTTTTTAATAAGCTGTACGCTTCTTTCCCAATGAATGCCAGGAAATGTGCCGCAATTTTATCACATTTAAGACCTTTCTTAGTCATGCTCCAGATTTCAAACCTTTCCAAATAATCCTCAAAAGCTTCCGAAGTTGAATGAATATCCAACTTTTCCATTGCAGGCTCCATCGCTAAGCCAGTATAATGTTTCGAATTATTTGAATTATAGCACGGAATAAGAGTCCCAGAGATAACGCAATTCAGTTAAGAAGTAAGACACGAGCACAAGCGAATGTACTCTATTTGGAATTCGAAATCGTGCAACCAAAAATTGCAAAAGTATCATTAGTTCGTTCAAACATCTCACTTTGACAATGTCTATCTACTTGCTAGAGCTAAATGAGGATTGTGAAGCAGTTTGAAGAATAACAACTATGATTTACCATTGGTAGTTAGGTTTAGGAATTATATATATTGTTTTCATCACGAACTGACATCAGCTAAAATTTCAAAACTCTAGTTGTCCAGACGGATGAATGAATTTCGCAACGAAGCCCGAAATCTGATTGGTTCGTCCACAGATTCTCGTTTTGACGAATTCTCTACCGAAACATGTAATGTCAAAGCCTTTCGCTGGTAAATTTAAAGCGAAACTGAATCTTTGCAATACTAACAGTTAAAAAGACTAATATAGGCTGTTTGATTTATTATCCTAACCACTGAAAACTGATATGCATCATCAGTCTAATTTTCGATCTATCGGTATGTGATTTGATTCCTAAAACACGAAAAGTAACTCCGTAAGTTTGTTCTCGTATTAAACACAC